CTATTCTGTGAAGAGAGCTTGCTATCCCCTAATATGAAGCCTAGACTTACACACTAAAGCAGAATAGAATCTGAAAAATATAAAAGCTAAAACCTGAGGCATCAACGTGCATCCTTTAACTGAGTGAGTTTGGATTAGGTGACACAGATCTTTTCCATGAGGATTTATCTATTTCTGTCAACTCTTTCTGAACTACAGGAACAGTTTAACAACTTATTTGTATATTCGTCATTCTTGTCAGGAATGGAAACAATCTTTTTCAAAAGCCCATAAAACTCATTAGAGGTATCTATCTGGCTTGGGTGAGGTAAATTTCCATGAAAAACACCCTGTTAATAAAAGGACAAGGAGATAATTTCTTTCCTATTTCATGAATAAGAAATTATTTTAAAATCTTCTATCTGTAGTAGTCTCAGAACTGCAGTTTTAAAATCTGAAACCAAATTTTGCAGACAGCAGCCTCTATCTTATTCGTCTACTGCTATAGCTTTTCATATTTTTTTAATTCAGTTCCAAATATAAAATTTTATATTTGTGATGTTAGTCCCTGATGATTATAAATTAGTTTGTCTGGAATATGTGGACATATCCTAGTATGTTCCCATTGCTGTTCAGTAAACAGACATTCTGCTACATAAAAATAAATTAATGAGCAAGAATTCTATTCAAGATTAGGTTATATACAATATTAGTCTAAAAAATTTAAATATTAAAAAAGCCAGAATATTAATTTAAGTATAAGGATATAGTACATTTTGAGATAAATTTTATTGGAAAGTGTTTGCATGATTGACTAATGCTGCTTCAGTTTTAAAAGGTTTGGTACCAGCTTAAATATTAGAAGTGGAAAAAATTCAGATCTTTCTTATGGTAGTGCTCCAGTGTTATGCTCAGCAGTAGAATATGTTCAATAAGGGGAGATTCTTTAGAACAAGTTCTACCACCTGTAGTCAGAGAAAATAATCTAGAAATATCTGTAGTGAAGGGAGGACAGAAGGTAATTATAATACCATACACATGCAAAAAAGATAGTTGTTAGAGTACAAACGAAAAATATTTGAGTCTTAATTTTTTTTAATTTTTAAGTAATGTTGGGAATGTTACATAAATTGTTTCCACTCGTGCTAAAATTCAGCCACTGTGTGTTATAATATCGCACAGAATCTCTTAGTGACACCAAATAAAATTCTGGTCCCTGGCAGATAATTTATTTCAGTCTTCTAGATGCTGGAATCTGGGAGAATTGAGATTACATGTAACAGAAAAATATGCTTTCATGAGATGCTTCAAATATGGTTTTTTTAACATATCTGGTTAATTTGCTTTAAAATAAATTTTAAAAAAATGTATAGCATGCCATGGAATAGAAATTATTTATTTATTTTTCTTCTTTTCCATGATACTACTCCAACACAACAAGGAATTTCAACTTAGAGGCCTCCACAGGCCTCTAAATCCACCCATGACCTACAAGAGAGTTTCTTATTATAAAATTAAATACCAGAGGAAAAAAAATAGATGTACATTTAATTGCCATGAAAATCTGTAAGATATGGAAGGAGGTGAATTTATCTTCCCTGACAATTTGAAACTAAAATACTAAAACAAAAACACTTAAAGCATGAACATTGCATTTTTTCTCTAAAAAAAATTTAGTATGTAATCTCTAAGACATAAAGATTCAAGGAAAATCTTTCAAAAAGCTTATAAAGTAGAAGAATCATTCTGGTAATTTTTACCCTTTTAATTTTTTTGTAGTATGCTAAATTGCAATTCTGACTTATTTTTTGTGCTCCTGATTAATGCTGTTAGAGCTTTAAAATCTGCTGCAGTCCTTCTGTTACTATACTCAAAATTATAGTGGGATTGCAGCCAACTTTATTTTTTGCAATTTTTACATTTGAAATCTAACCAGCAGTTTTTATGAATCTCAAATTCTACAAAACCTCTTTATTTCTCACTAGATAGTAGGAATTACAGCAAGTCTAAAACTGTAAAAGAAGAGAGCAGTTTCGTGATTTTCCTTGAAACTAGAACAAAACAAACCCCTCTGCTATCTGAGATTGAGATTTAGAGAATCTGAAATTCCATTTTGCAATGCACTTAAGACACCCTGTACTTGGAGAAGAAGTGCTCATTTCTGATGGCTCTTTTTTGCCTCATGTTCACAGAAGTGACAATGCTCTGGAGTGTGATCTCAGTCTGTAACAGTGGAAACCTGGCAAACTCCATGTGCTGGAATAGCCAGGTGAATCATATTTATTTGTAATCCCATTATGTTTCTTAGAAACTAGAAAAAAACAGTGTCTGAAGAACTAAACCAGTAAACCATTTTTATTTTTTTTAATGTACTCACAGCACTAGATATAGTAAGAACTGTAATTGCCACAACAAGACTGACATAGACAAGAGCTGAAGCTCCACAAGTCAAAGATATCCATATAAATATGAACATCCTCCAGAGTTATATTAGGGTGAAATGAAATTGCCTAATACATGGCCAGGCCAGGCTTCAAAGTTGTACCACTAACAGATCTGCTTTAGGAAAATATGTCATCACAGCACACCATAGCAATTCTTTCCTGGAGCACCAAATTATGGCCCCTGGCCAATCAGGCCTAGGATCAGTGGTCCTATGCTGCATGTCTGATATTTCTGAGTGGGAAAAGAGCCAACTTACTGAACCTAAAGGTTTAAACACTCAAAAAATAAAGCTTGGCTAAATTTATTTTCTGCACCCAGTTACATAGCCAGGAAAATACCATTCAATTAAACATCTCCCTCAGTAGTAGAGTAGGTTACTACTCATGGAATATACAAATGTTGAGTATTAGAATAAGCATTTCCAGCAGATTGAGGGAAGTGATCCTGCCCCTCTACTCACCCCTGGTTACGCATATCTGGAATGCTGCGTCCAGTTCTGGGCTCCTTAGAACGAGAGATGCATGGAGTTCCTAAAGCAGTTCCAGCAGAGGGCAGTGAAGATTATTAAGGGACAGAAGCATTTCTCTTATGGGGAAAGGGTGAGAGATATGGGCTTGTTCAGCCTGGAGAAGAGATAACAGTGACAGGACCTCATCAATGTCTGTCAGTGTCTGGAGAGGGGTCAAGAGGATGGAGCCAGGCTCTGTTCAGTGGTGCCAAGCAATAGGAGAAGAGGCAACAGGCAGAAACTGATGCTCAGGAAGTTCCACCTCAGTATGCAGAAGACTTTACTGTTCAGGTGACTGAGCACTGGAAAAGACTGCCCAGAGAGGTTGTGGAGTGTCCCTCACTGGAGATATTTAAAACTATCTGGACACGATCCTGTGTGTTGTGCTCTAGGATGACCCTGACTGAGTAGTGGGGCTGAGCAAGGTGATTCACAGTTCCAACTGTATCCATTCTGTGATTCTGAGATCTATCATGCCATCAGAAGTATCCACAGCATCTGCACTGAGCAATTTTTTTCTTTCCTCAACATTTTATCTTCATTGTACTTCACAGAACCAGTGCAGAAATGACAGTATGGTTTTGCACACTGTGTTTGTATAGTACTGGATATATTTTAAAAGAACAGAGTAAAGAATGACAGTAAAACCTTTGCTTTGTCTTATTGCAAAATGCTAAGTAAACTATTTTTATATACACTATATAAAAAAATAATTTTTTTACTGTTATTAAATTAAAGAAAGTCGAGCAAGGAGCTTCCACTATAGAGTGTTAATGTAAATCTGGACAGTGAGTTAATGTTTAGGAAGGCTCAGATAAAGAGAAGGAGAGTCACCAGGAATAAACAGACACCCTAAGGGCTAATAATCAACTCGGAGAAAATCCTTAAGCCAAAAGGAAACTAAAGGAACATAAATACAAATTCAGACGACAAAACCAGTGGAATGTGACAGGGAACAAGAGAAGAAAACTATCAAGGATCAAATTCTATTAAGGATTATTATATATGATAAAGAATACATTTTAAAAATAGTACATGATACCAAGACAGAAAAGGTTATAAGTATGACATCAGAATAAAATAATTTACCCTAGAAAAGGTGTGACATAATTCAGTGAACAAGTTTTACATTTGTGGGGAAAAAAAGTGCAAAATTCTCACTTTGCAGAATGGGAGG